GAGCTGGGAAAGCCTTTGTTCCGGAAGCTTCCAGACTGTTATCAGTGCTGATAGGTAACCTAGCAGGAGCACGTGGGGTGGGGACAGGAATGCAGACGGGGTACACTGGGGGACACACAGGATCCACTTACAGCTAGCTGTTCAGTTCTGCTCCATTTCCCAGAGCCCTGAGTCCTGAGCAACTCCCAGCAGGCCTGCAGCTCTGGGTCTGAGCTTTCAAGGAAAAAAGCACACTTGCACTATTCTAACTGCTTCAAGCTCAAGCATCTGCAGACAGTAGTAGAAGTCCCAGCCAGTGCCAGTGTGAGAATGTTCCACCCAAGTGAGCCCCGTCTGGCTATGTCTGAAGCTGGGCATTCCTGGGTCCTACTGTTGCTGCCTCGACAGCCTGTGCAGTGTCAGGGACTCAGACCAACAACGGTCCTCTCAGGGCAGAGCTGTCTGTGGAGAACTTAGATGGGGCCAATGTCTAATAGCTTAGGAAACGTTTAAGGGCAGAGCCAGTCCTCACACGTGAGACCCAACTGGACCTGAGAAGCTGCTGGTTCCCCAGTTCTTTGAGTCTAAGGTGTCCATCTCCTCTCTACAAGGCCCTGGGAACTCTGATCTCTGTACCGATAAAATGGGAGCTGGTAGCTAAAAGATTACATTTCAAGTGTTTTGATAGGAGGGAGAACCTTGGGTAACTCATCTCAGCACTGTGAGGCTGTTTTCTGTAAATCAAAATTGTTAGACCAGTTACTCTCAACACCTGTTGGAGTCCAACATTCTTGACACCAGAGCTACCCGGCTGTGGGTGCCCTGACACTGGGATGGAAGTCCCACCATAGTGAATTACCTACAGGCTTTGTGGGGTATAGGGAGGGGCATTTAGCAAAAGCAAAGCAATGCACTCATGTAAAGTACTGTAAAGGGCTTTTCTGGCCTAGCACAAAGCTAGTCATAGTGAAAGATGCCAGGGTAAGTTAGTACGTGCATACTTTGTGGAAAAGCATGCAAGACCAGGAAAGATCTGGAAAACAAGGAAGATAGCAACACTCGACCATGGAACCATGCTTTGCATCTTAGACAGTTAATTCTGCCAGGTGTTCTGTAGAGCACACCAGTCCGTTTCTAAGTTCCCACTGCACAGCCCCGATGCCGCAGACCTGACTGTCAGTGTCAGTCGGGAATACAGAGCTCTGTTTGTGACAAAAAGCACCTGGGCTCAGTAACACAGGGAATTCATTTCCAGCTGGCCGTGAGCTCGTTAGCTAGAGTGCTTTATTTGTATGTATGATGCCCTGGGTTTACTCCTCGGCAGGCATAACCTAGGAGTGGTGACATAATAGGACCCCAGCACTGGGGAGGTGGAGGCATTACCCTTCAAGGGACTACAGTGTGGACTACATGAGATTCTCGGGAGACAAATCCCTTCTTCCCATCCTGGAAGCTGAAAGGCCAAGGCTGACACCTGACCAGAGCCTTCTTTCTATCTGTGCCATCCCACAGTGGAAGGGGAAAGGAAGTAAGGGAGTTGGGGCTAACAGCCCGGAACTCATCCCCACCGCCATTTAAAGCCCCATTTCTCAGCACTGTGTCGCTGAGAATTCTTTCCAGTGCTTGACCTGGGGACACATTCACGCCACCACAGGAAGCTTTTTAAAAGTCCATTGTCAGGCAGGGACCCAGAGCTGCACCATTAACATCTCCCAGGTGGGATCCAGAGGTCATTATTTTCCGAACTCTCCACAGGGCTTCTCAAAGATAGTGACCTGGTACCCACAGCGGCAGAGAGAGCTCCCAAAACTCCCATGGCACCTAGCAGGCAAATTCCCAGTCCCACCTGAGTCTTAGGAGACAGAAACCCTGTGGGGGGACCCAGCAATCCGCAGGTCAGCAGGTGCTTCTCAGACACGCTAAACCCCTAAACTCTGACCTCAGAAGGAACGGAGGGTAGTGTGGTTCCGGGGGGATTTGAAACAGATGTTTAGGGCTGATTCTTCCAGCCGTGGTAATTTCCATCTGGTTTTAAGAAACAGGTCTTTTCAGAAAAAAACCACAAGTATAAATTAAATACAGAATTGACTCTGAAATTAGTTTCCTGTGTAGAGTTATTGATTCTAAATCAATTAACATTTGAAGTCCCCAGTGTTGCCTGCCATCACCCACACAGGCACAGGTCTGTAAGAGCTCCCTGATGGTAATTGGTAACAGGGTTGTCTGTCAGTGTGGTCACTCTGGGATTTTGGAAATACAATTATACCATTGGCTCGATGCCTGCTTTTCTCTGCAGGAGGGGCCTGAGAATTCCTAAATGGTTTCAACTTCTTTAGGCAGAAATCACTGAGCTTTGAGTTTTGATCTGTTTCTAGCTGACTCCCGCCTGTCCCTGTGGTCAGAATGGGGCTAGGTTTTTTTGCTTTGTTGGGGAATTGGTAGTTTGGTGTCCTTTCAACCCCCCCCCCCATTCGGCCTCTGCACATACTCAAATGGCTGGCAATCAGAAAGACGGGCTTTGTTTCTCATTCACGACAGCTCTCTCTCCACAAAGTGTAGGAGAGAGCCACAGGGGTCAACCATGATAAAATGAAACCTAAAACCTTTAGCCACATATTCTTTGAGTGCAGCTTCTAAGTGAGGCAGAAAACCCAACGACCTCCTCATGTCAGTCATGTTCTATGACCATGACAAGCACTAAGAAAGCAGTCTGGAAGGACTTGTTTGGGCTGACACTCAAAGGGTTCGATCCTCTGTTGCTTGGCTCTGCTGGTTCTGGGCTGTGGTGAGGCAGAGCAGCATACAGTAAAATAGATCTGCTCACCCTGCTGCAGCCAGGAAGCAGCGAGCAGTATCAGGAAAGGGCCAAGGAGAATGCAGACCTTTCGAAGACAACAACCCACGTTTGTCACCTCAGCCTCAGCTCTGCAGGTCCACTGCCTCCTGTTAGTCTATTCAAACTCTGAATCTATTATGGATTTAACCATCAATTAGGTCAAATCATCTCTGGAAAGGTCCTCACAGATGTGCCCAGAGGTGTGCTTCACCAGTATCCTAGGAGTCTCTGAATCCGGTCAAGGTGACAGTCAAGATCAACCATCTGCATTCATACTCAGGACCACTAACTGTCAATCCAGCCCTGCCACATTCCATGCCTGAGCACTGATCCAACAGCTTGAAAACAGTGCTGAGTTGTTCCGTTTTACAGAGAGGAACATGCACAACAAAGAGGGGTTGAGGAACATTCCTAGAACCCTGTGTCCATGAAGTTTCGGAGCCAGAATCCAGAGCTGGAGGTGGGAGCCCAAAGTCTGGAACACCAGATCCTCAGACTGGAGTGCTGGTAAACTTGGCAGGCAGTACGAGGGCCGCCATGTTGTCTGGTAGGCCTTTCCACTCCGTGAATGCAGCTGCCCCTAGGGAGACATCCATGGTGAAACAGACTCTCCTACTCTATTCTCTCAAAGATCTGAGCACCGTGCCTATGCAGTTTATGAGGAATATTGCTTGGTTTGGGTCATGGTTCTGAAGATGTTCAACAGTGTGGTGCCCTCATGTGTTTCATATCTGGTAAGCACCTTGTCCTACGTCACAACACGGCAGAAGGTATCACATAGCTAGACAGAGCAAGTTCACCATGGATAACCCATTATATCTATGAATAAACTCAAGGATAATAAAGCCACTCCCTCAATAACATATCCATCTATAAGTAGATTCAGTATCCTTATGACACAATTATTTTCCAGTGGTCTTGTTACTCAACACGGTTACCCTGAGACCCAAGTTTGCAACGTGTGGCCTATAGCAACCACTCATTGCGTGTTCCTTCCAAAGGTGACTGACAGTGCCTCAGTACGAGTCGTTACATAAACTACTGTAGTTACTTTTCTGTTGCTGTAACAAACACTATGACCAAAAATGACTTATGGAAGAGTTTCTTTTGACTTACAGTTGCAGAGCCCATGTGGCGGGGGAGACGTGGCAGCAGACAGCCAGGACAGGGAGCTGAGAGGTCACACCTTCATCTGCAACCACGAAAGCATAGAGTGAGCTGCAAGTGGGCGGGACTGTAAGTCCTCAAGCCCTCCTGAAAGTTCTACAACTTCCCACAAGGGCACTACAAGCCCAGGGCCAAGCGCTCAAATACAGGAATATATGGGGGCGATTCCCACTCATCACCACAACCACCAGGAACTAGTGTGGCAATGTATAATTAATTTTCTTTTGTTTATTATTTATTCATTATTTAAGAGACAGGACCCCACTATTCCCGGATGTAGGCCCCGGATGTAGACTCATGGGGATCCTCCTGCCTCTGCGTCCCAGGAGCATTTTTATTTTCTAAGTTTTAAAAAGGCACATTTATTGACTTATTTTCTTTGTATGTGTGTGTGTGTGTGTGTGTGTGTGTGCCTGTGTGTGTGCCTGTGTGTGGGAGGAGAGAAGACAGTTTGCAGGAGTCAGTTCTCTCCTTCTTCCCTGTGGGTCCCAGGGATGGGACTCAGGTCGTCAGGCCTGGCTTTCACCAGCACTTTCACCCAATGAGCTATTTTGCCAGGCTATCTGCTTTGTTTATGGAGTGGCCGCCGTTGGGTCCATCTCTGTGGGGAGTGGGCAGAGAAATGAGTGTTTGACATGGACATGGTTGACTATAAGGAAGGGCACACAGCATATGAACGACCATAAAGATAGTGATAAGGGAAAGAGGAAAGAGACCCGATGAGAGACATGACCCCATACCAGTTACAACACACAACATAGCAATATGCAGTAACATATATGGATGAAACTCATTCCAATGGCCATCTACCAGAGAGGGCGGTGGGTAGAAGAACTTCAGTGAATCAAGTTGTCAGTTGATTAACCAAGAGTGGCCAATGAGACTTCTGATGGTGTACACCACAGGAGCACGCTTGTCCACTCCCCTGTAACCTAAGACTCTAAAACACTGTGAGCATGGGTGAGAGGTGGCCAGTTCATACTATTTGATTTCAAGTTACATTTTCATTTCAGGAATTTTGCTCTACATCTGGGGAAAGCTTGAAACCCAGGATGATCCTGTCAAACTCCACGACTGTGATGCCCTTTCTGGCCACACTGTGGCGGGAGACAGCTCAACAGGGAGGCGATGCATCCGGCCTGGCTCGCAGGTCTCAGCTCCGAGATGACAGCAAGCTGGAAGCACTGTACATCCTCATGGTGCTGGGCTTCTTTGGCTTCTTTACCCTGGGCATCATGCTGAGTTACATCCGATCTAAGAAACTGGAGCACTCCCACGACCCATTCAACGTGTACATTGAGTCAGATGCCTGGCAGAAGAAAGACAAGGCATTCTTCCAGGCTCGTGTTCTGGAGAGCTGCAGGGCTTGCTATGTCATTGAAAACCAGGTGGCCGTAGAACAGCCTGCCACACACCTTCCTGAACTGAAGCCTTTGTCATGAACCCCATAGCTCATTAAGAATAGACAAGCCCTGCATATGGCAATCGTCCTTCTGGTCACAGACCTGTCATAGTCTTTATTGTAGGGGTGCCACTGGAGTTTTTGCTACTGAAGCATTGAGGGATGAATTAATAATACAAGTTTTCTAGAATCACATTTCTTCTATAGTAGATGATCAGTTAATTCTGCAGCACCTACCCTTGTCTTTTGAAATCGAGCAGAGTCCTCAACAATTTGCCCTCTGAGAATGCAAGCCCAGTTTTTCCGAAATCTCTGGACATTGGCAGGGTCCCGTGACTAAGTTCTGGTTAGAAGATACGGACATGAGGAGTCCAGTTGGTAATAGCTTTTGAAGAGGGAAGGGTGTGCCCTCTTTCTTCCTTGTCCCCCTAAGGACACTGATACACTTGAGGCAGCTCTGACAGAAACAGCAATCCACCATCCGGTGACCTGTCACCTTCCTGCACTGCCCATCTGTCACGGTCATAAGAAAGAGTCTGCGTCCCACTGTTCCTGCAGCCGCTACTTACTGTTAAGTCAAAGAACCAGTAGCCAAACACAGTGGCACCTTGGTGCTTGTCCCTTTGTTCACAACTGTGACTCTATCCTCCTTCTGCTCTTATGTCTCCCACTCTCCCCTTCTGACACAGCTTTCCTGCATTCCTTACACACACACACACACACACACACACACACACACACACACACCTCGCAGTTCAATCTGGATAGAAATTGCTTCTTATAGGGCTGGGACAGAGTAGGAAAATGACCCCTTCAGAGTAGATACCATGTAGATACCAAGGTGTGCAGTTATCACTGGAGAGAAAGTGGTCACCCCACCATCCCAAAGGGCCCAGGGGAGGTATATGTGTGGGCGCTGGCACACATGGGACAGATGTAGCAAGCCTTTGAGGTGACAGGTTTGACTTGCTGAATGAATTATGTTCCTAAAAATAACCCGTTGAGGTTCCAGCCCCCAGTGCTAGCGACTGTTGCCTTGTCTGGAAATAGGGTCTTTCCCAACCATCAGGTTTCAATGAGCGATTGAAGGGGGCCCTACTCATGCCCTTATAAGAAGAGGGACCCTGACACACATGAGGACTTATGAGATCCTGTAGACAGAGATTGGAGGGATGAAGATGAAGGCCAAGGAGAGCTGAAGATGGATGGCCCCTGGGGACAGAAACAAGGAACAACTCCCTTTGTCAGTTTTCAAGGGCAGGAGGCCCTCGCAAGCTTTCCTTTCAGACTCCGGCCTTGAGAACATAGGACAATGCCTGCCTGTTGCTTGGTAGACTTAGATAAAGCAGTCTAGCCAGCTGATGCAGTATCTGGTGCCCCTCCCACATCCAACCAGAAGGAACTATGGGAGTGGAGTGGAGAGGGGTGGCACCAGCGTGGCTGTTCATAGCAGACAGACAGATATCTCAGGCCATCTGCCCTGAGAGCATGGGGAACCAGCGCTCCGAGTGCCAGCCTTCCCCGGCTGCCACCTGAGAGGCAAGGACCTTTTGTACCACACACCCTGAAAGCTCCCTGCCTGGCAATCCTGGAGAGCATGAAATATTTCAATGAGACCCGAGTTTTGGAAAACTGGCAAGATAGAGGTGATCTGAGTTTGATCCCCAGAATCCCTGGTGGACAAAAAAGACAGACCGCAGAAAGTTGTCCTCTGACCTCTACATGACGCACAGTACACACACACAGACACACACACACACACACACACACACACACACACACACACACACACACACAGACACACACACACAGACACACACACACACACACACACACACACAAAATCATACACATACAAAACAATAAGAAAGATTTAAACACACAATCTAATGAAAAGCACCCCCCCCAGGCAGCACTGACTGCCCTCCAGTAGATACATTTGGCTCAGTCTGATTTGATGATCACAGCTCTCATTTCCCACAAATCAGTGACTCCCATGTTAGGGGTGGGGTGGTGGACATTTCCGCATCAGAACCCTGACATGGATTACCCCTGAATTGCTACTGTCCTTGAATAATTATTTGTGTCCCAGGGCCCTTTGAATTCCAATGAATGCTGGACTCCTCCCCACTCCAAGATGCTCACAGACATTTTCCCTGCTGTCTTCAGAGTTCGTGAGCACGTAGAACAGCTGTGGCCACTGCATCCATGGCCACTGTGTGAGCCAAACTCTGCTCTGAATGGATCCCTGTTGCCCAGACTGGAGGGAAGGCTTGGAGAGGGACCCAGAGTGCTTGTGACTAGCTCGTGACACAGTGACCTTGATATTCCTGGCATACAGACATCCTGTCACCAGCTCTTTTCTCCACAGGAATTCCTGTGCCTTTTAAGGCAGGGAGATCCTCAGGCCTTGGAGCTATCGCCCTTGGAGGACTGGGCCTCACACTTACTACCCAACTGCAGACTCCTTATCTCTCCCCAATTCTGGCCCCTTCATTTAAAAGGCAGACAGGAAGAGGCAAGTAAGAACTGAACTGAGCCTTGAAATGCTACCTGCCTGTCATGCTGTAACATCTAATTGCATACACACAGAGGGCTGTCATAGTGTAACATATGATTGCACACACAAACACAGAGGGCTGTCATGCTGTAACATCTGATTGCACACACACACACACACACACACACACACACAGGGCTGTCATACTGTAACACTGATTGCACACACACACACACAGAGGACTGTCATGCTGTAACATCTGATTGCACACACACACACACACACACACACACACAGAGGGCTGTCATACTGTAACATCCGATTGCACACACACAGAGGGCTCTCATGCTATAACATCTGATTGCACACACACACACACACACACACACACACACACACACACACACACACGGCTGTCACAGTGTTGTGCAGGGACCACTCTCAGCTCTTCATAGATTCTCAGTCAATATTTTGCACACACTGTTTTTGTTAGGACAGAGCCTTTTGCCGTGTTAGCATTTTTTAAATTAAAGCTTTTATATTTTTGGTTGTGAGCCTAGCCTTTAACGACTGAGCCATCTCTCTAGCCCTAAATTAAAGCTTTTAAAACATGATCTTGTGTGATTTTTTTTTAAAAACCAGATTTATCTGCTTTAGTTTTGTGTCTGACTGTTTTTCTGCATATATGTAAGGGTACTTGGTACCTGTGGAGGTCCGGAGAGGGTGTTGGATCCCCTGGAGTTATGGATGGCTCTGAGCTACCATATGCATGCTGGGAACTGAACCCAGGTACCCTGTTGAGGAATCCATGCTCTTAACAGTAAGCCATCTCTCCATGCCCCAGGGCTGCTGTATTTGTGATACTTTGGAAGAGGAACAGATATTTGAGGGGCTGCATAGGCAGCCCCAGCAGCCGTGGAATACGTGTGAGACTGCCTGAGGAAAGTTAAGTCAGCCATTAAGGCACAGTGTGTCAGGGTGGAGAATTATGAATCCCTCTGGTCAAAAGTGAGGGAGCAAAGCCCCAGAGAGATATCAGTCACCCATGGAGCACCGTTCCCTCCTATGCTGGTTGGTATTTTTTTTTTTTCTTTTTTCAAGCCAGGGTTTCTCTATGGCTTTGGAGGCTGTCCTAAAACTCACTCTGGAGACCAGGCTGGTCTCGAACTCACAGAGATCCGCCTGCCTCTGCCTCCCGAGTGCTGGGATTAAAGGCGTGTGCCACCAACGCCTGTAGGGAGAGACCCTGATTACATGTACTGCGTGTCACAGGTAGAAAAGGTTGAGAGAGTGCCAGGCATTCTCTCTTCTCTCTCTCCCTCCCTCCCTCCCCCCTCTCCCCCTCTCTCTCTCTCTCACACACACACTCCCTCCCTTCCTCTCTCTCTCACACACACACACTCTCTCTCTCCCTCCCTCCCCCCCTCTCTCCCTCCCCCCCCCTCTCTCTGGGGGTTCAGCCAGCTTTGGGAAGCATCTCTTCTCAGAGTGCCAAACCTGGTTACTGACTCCTCGTGTGAGTATATATTTCCCAATAAACTGCCAGCTAATAACCTATCTCGGGTTCCATTCGTGTTCCCCATTAAACACCGGCACTGGTTGGTAGTTTTGTCAACTTGATACAATGTGGGCAGGGGATCTTGAACTGAGAAAATGCCCCCACCAGACCCATCTGTAGGCAAGCTGTAGGGCATTTTCTTGATTGATGATTAATGTGGAGGCCCAGCCCAGCATTGGCATCTCCCCAGGTCCCCTCCCCCTCCCACCCCTACCCCCCCCCGTGCTCACCCCTCCCACCCCTACCCCACACTGTGTTCTCTCCTCCCTCCCTTTAAGTCTTTTTGTTCCCTGAACAGCTTTGCCGTTTGCTTCAAGTATTTATCCCATCCTCTGTATCTCTATAAAATCTAGGAACCACAAACAAGAGAAACCTACAGTACTGTGTTCCTGAGACTGATCTGACTTAAATACAATCACTTCCAGTTGCATCCATTTCCCTAGAAACAACTACTTTTCCCTTGAATCTGGATGTGGGTCCCCTCTGGACACTATCGTAATTCAATAGTCTAAACAAGTGCATGCTGAATGGACAGGCCAGGCAGACTACCTGGAGTCCTCACCAGGAGGTGACTCTTTATGGGGACAAATGGGACACAGATACTAAGTCAGGCTGAAGGAGATAAGCAAAAGCCTGGAGGGTTCGAGGACCCAGGGAGTGAGCATGTGCTCTGAGTGCATTCAGAGGGTCGGCTCCTTCTTGGGCTCCTTCTTGTATGCGTAGTAGCCACTGGGTGCATAAAACAAATCTACATGTGAAAAGGAGACACAGAGAGCAGCTGTCACTGCAAGAGCTCTGGTCCCCATGTCCACCTGAGGTCGTTAAGGTAGCAGCCACCTATCACACAGATTTTTTTGTCTTTCAACGAGTGTATCGGACTGCTGGGTGTGGCTGCCCTCTGGTGGTAATTTTCAGGATATTTTTCTAAACACAGAGCCCTGAAGCCTTTGCTTTGCCTAGGAAGGACCAGGTGATGTATTCTGAGAGCCTCTAGACACTGTTGACAGGCTGAAATTCTGACCAACCAACAGTGCTTGGGAGACAGTACCTACTGTCCCGAAAGAGAGACACCTTCTCCAGGTGTGATGGGGGACACTCCATCTGCCGGGACCTTGGGGTCATAGCTCAGGTCCTGGGAAAGCTGCGAAGACCTCTTTGCTGAAACCTCAGCCCTCTCTCATTCCAGGGATGGCACCATCATCCCTCCAAGCCCCAGGAAAACATCCTCCTTCCCAGGCCTGAGGACCTTTCAGCCACAGGGGACAATGGGTGCTCTGCCTGGAGAGAGGCCCCCCAGCTGCATGGCTTTTGGGGGGGGGATCTGAGCTTTGTTTCCTCTTACCAGCACTAAAATTTGGGTACATGCCACCATGCCTGGCACTTTTCCATGCTCTTGGGACAGAAGACATCCTCACATTTACAAGGCAAGCACTTTGCCGACTAGGCTACCTCCCAGCCTCTGGGCTCATGCTTTCAAAACACATCAGTCATCACACAGGGAGGACACAAGGTGTGGTGGAGGCTCTTCACTGCACCAGACACCAGGAAACAGAGTACCAAAGGGACTAGGGCCTGCGGAGCCAGCAAAGGCCACCAGTCACCAACTCCCACCAGTGAGGCCCCACTCCTCAGGTTCCACCAGCTGTGGAGCAGGCATGAAATGATAAGCCCTTGGGGAATGTTTCAGGTTCAAACCATAACAGGCTTACTTTTCATTTATATATCTTATAGGCTTGGGCATGTGTCTGCTGTTTCACTGAAGAGTCCGTTCTCTGCCCTGTGCTCCACCTAATCACCCCTCCCTGTCACCCCACAACTTTTTCCTGTCTTTCCCACAGGGTGGTAGTTAGAATCACACAACACATTCTCTTTTCTGAATTGACTTCTTCCAGGCAGCATCTGTTTTAAGTTTCCTTTCCCTTTGTTTTTTCATACCCCCTCTCCACACACACGGTTTCTAGAGCTAAATAATAGTCTTCTCGAAAGGCACCATGGTTTGTTCATCCACTCTTCCACCCGAAGAGCATCTTGGCTGCTTCTGAGTTTGTGTGAAGGTGAGTAAAGCTCTGTAACATCTGTGGGCAGACTTCATGTACACAGACGTTTTTAACTCCTTGTGGTAAATGCTAGGGATGGCAATTGCTGGGTCACAGGTAAGAGCCCACCGCTCTCCTGCTGTAAACCTTCCGGTATCCCCACAAGCGCCACGTGAGAGTTCCTGTTGCTTGTGCTGCCCCAGGACCTGCTGTTGTGGCCTTCTGCATTTGGCCTCTCAGGTAGGTACATACCTGCCATGCCGTTTTGTAAGTAAAGTTTTATTGGAACACAGGTGCATTCACTTTCATACAATCCAAGTTGAATCCTTGGCAAGCATGAGGAACCAAGCTTAGTTCCTAAGCACACATGTCAAAGTGACAAGGTCCCTCCCTATACCTGTAGTCATGTTGGAGGCAGGGACAGGTGGGTCCTTGGGACTTGCCAGCCAGACTGTCTATCTGAAACAGTGAGCGCCAGGCCAACTGATGAAAAAGCCTGGGAAAAACAAGGTAGGCATCGATCCAAGAAGACACTTGGCACCGACTCTGGCCTTCACATGCGCACACATACACACATACATACACATACACATACACACACACACACATACACACACACACATACACACACACACA